TCCTATATAGGCCAGGGAACTGGGATAGCAGAGTCTCTCTGGATAGTAGGAAACAGAAACCCAATCAACTACTATTACAGAAAAAAGTTTTTTTTTTTTAATCTTCATCTCTATTTGAAAGCTCCATACCATCTTTAAAGATATTTTGCAAGGCTAAACTCAAAGGGCCACTCATCTTATAGTCAGGACATTATTTTAATAATTGAGTATGCATTCCTCAGTCATAAAAGTCTCAGAGACAGAGTTTTAGTAGTTGATTCTGTCAAATGTTTGCCTGTGTTAGGTTTCTTGATGTTGCTACTATTGCCTTTTGGGCCAGATAGTTCTTTGTTATGGGGGCCTTGCTTGTGCATGTTTCCTATAATCCCTGACCTCTACTCATTATATGCCAACAACACCCCCTTCCTAGTTGTGACAACCAAAAATGACTCTGGACATTGACAAATGTGCCCTGAGAGCAAAATTAAACCCAGATGGGAACCACCTGCCTAGGTGATGCTTAATACTGTAGATGACAGAGAGCTCACCATAACTAGGAGCAGTCTCTTCCAACTATTCAACTTTTATGTTAGAAAGTTCAAATGCTGGTTGGCCATCCATTCCCCTGCAGTCTTCCCTTGCAGCAATAGACAGCAAATTTAATCTGCTTTGCCTATGATGGGTCTGAAGTAATTTTATGACACTGCCATGCTGGGTTCCCTAGTCACCCACCTCTACTCATTCTCAAGTCTTCTCTCTCCCAAATTAAACCATTTCCTCCTTCAACTGTTTCTCAAATGACATGTTGGGTCCTACCTATATTAGGGCTGTCCTCTGACCTTGTTCCTGTTTGTCCATATCTTCCTGACAGTGCTATGTACTCCACTAAGCACATTTTTACAGGTGCTTGGATCACCCCACCCTAACATCTTGGTTCTAAGGTCCACACTTATCCCTTAGGCCTACACTTAACCCTTTCAAATTTCTGCAGTTCATAAGAAACTGGTAAGCTTGCTTGTCTGAGGACAGCAGGGAGGCTGGGCCATGAAAGGCAAGAGAAATTGACCATTCATTGTATATGTGTGTTTAAACTTTGCACCATGCACATATATTACCTGGTCACAACAAACAATCCAGCAAATAAATACATTAAAATTGTTTCACCTGTTGATATTCACCCAATCCTCCCAGCCTATCCTGATCCATTTGGAAATTTATGTCTTCCAACAACCTCATTTACTCTACAAATATAATTAGCATTGCCTTCAAAATCTTTGGTGAAAGCCACTAATACGGACAGGTGGAAAAAGACAAGCCTAGGCTCATCAAGGCACTAAATCAAGACACTAAATGTGCAGTTTTCTAGTTGGCACCCCACAAACCCACTAACTTCCTTCCTTTACCTGGTGGCTATTACCTAACTGGTTTTCCTAAACAGAAGTCCCATTGATGAGTCCTCTTTCTTTATGGGGAGTCTATCATAACTGCAGTGCAAGACGAAAGACATGCCATGCCCGAAAAGTACTTCTAGACTCAACTGCAACTCATCACCTACCCTGAAGAATTAAACTCCTTGGCAAAACCCACAACAGATCTGCCCTGGCCTCTCACAGGAAGGAATGGGTTGGTTACTTTTTAAAAATTTTTTTTAGTTGTTGAACCTTTATTTTATTTATTTATATGTGGTGCTGGGAACCAAACCCAGTGCCTCACACATGTACGAGGCAAGTGCTCTTCCATTGAGCCACAACTCCGGCCTCAGATTGGGTACTTGAAGGGGGCAAATACAAGCAGTGGTATCAAGGTTTGTTAAATGGCTTCATTTATTTTAAGAAAGCATCTAGCAGTCCTGAAATGGCAGCAAGAATTGCACACACAATGATAAAGGCAAATTTAATGATTTATTCATACAATAATTCATGCTGCACTTAACACAAATATGAGTGTACATTTTTCAATAGTGTGGAAGAGATGAATTCATTAAAAAAGTTAATGAGTTTTGAATATAAATCACCTGCAAAAGTTTCTTTCAGAAACACACACAGAACAACTATAAATTGGGCAATGGTTTTGTAAATGCCAGCTTCAAGCCTGCTCCAAATCCTCTAACCCATATAAATCACTGTCCCTGACTTTTACAGAGGGAAAAACAAAAGTGGGTAATGCCTGGCCTTTGCTTCTCTCTTTGGCCAAGGCTTAAATCTTGCTTTTGATCAGGTGATGAATACTCTGCTCTTCCTTATCAGCAGTGGGGCTCCTTCTGTCTGGAAGTCAACCTAAACCACTTTTTGTTTTCTCCAGCCTAGATTCAACCCCCATCAGCAGACTAGGGAAATCACCTAGAATTCAGATTCAAATAAGAGCATCCTTTGATCACGTCATGGGTGACAGTGATTTGGAAGACCCAGAATGATAATTGGGAAACTCTGATCACAAAGAAAACTCTTAAGGGTGGGCTCTCTATCACATCAGATGGCCTTTATTTTATTAATCATTGAGCAGAAGTGGCATATGCTCCATCCTGCAAGCAAGGAGATGGATAGGGATGCCAGCTGGAAAGTAGCATGTGGAAAGGCAAGATCCAAACAAAAGCAATGATGGTGACTCTATGGGTGATCTGAGGGCATCAACTATGTCATCCCTCTGGGCTTCAAAGTCTCATATGCAGAAGAGAGAAACTTCCCAGAGGAATCAAGAGGCCCCCAATCACAGTGGGGAATGAGGGAACTAGGCTTGATCAACCACAGAGACAGTGGGCTACGTCAAAGGCCAAAAAGACCTTGGAGAAGCCAAGGGAGAATCTAGGCTCTATTTTTTTTAATTTTTTTATTATTAGTTGTTCAAAACATTACAAAGCTCTTGACATATCATATTTCATACATTTGATTCAAGCAGATTATGAACTCCCATTTTTACCCTGTATACATATTGCAGATTCACATCGGTTCCACATCCACTTTTTTACATACTGCCATACTAGTGTCTGTTGTATTCTGCTGCCCTTCCTATCCTCTACTATCCCCCCTCCCCTCCCCTCCCCTCCCATCTTCTCTCTCTACCCCATCTACTGTAGTTCATTTCTCTCTCTTGTTTTTTTCCCCTTTCCCCTCACTTCCTCTTATATGTAATTTTGTATAACAATGAGGGTCTCCTTCCTTTACCATGCAATTTCCCTTCTCTCTCTCTCTTTCCCTCCCCCCTCTTGACCCTGTTTAATGTTAATCTTTTCCTCCAGCTCTTCCTCCCTGTTCTGTTCTTAGTTGCTCTCCTTATATCAAAGATGACATTTGGCATTTGTTTTTTAGGGATTGGCTAGCTTCACTTAGCATAATCTGCTCTAGTGCCATCCATTTCCCTGCAAATTCCATGATTTTGTCATTTGGCTCTATTTTATTCCCAGATCCCAGAGCATAATTCAAGACTCTTCAAGTGCTGGACACACTGGTACACAACTGTGATCCCAGCAACTGGGGAGGATGAGTGAAGCAGGAGGATTTCAAGTTTGAGGCCAGCCTTAGCAACTTAATGAGACCCTGTCTCAAAATAAAAAATAAACAAAAAAGGGCTGTGGATATAGCTTAGTGGTAGAGTGCCCCTGGGTTTCAACTCCCAGTACCAAAAAATACTTAAATAAATAGGAGAATCCTCCAAAGAATTACAACCTGCAGGATGGACTTGGGGGTAGAAAAAGAGTTGGGCACACTTTTGAGAATTCATAACCAAAGCCCTTCACACAGCAAAGATATGATTGGCTTGAACACCTGACAGGCAGCAGAAAGTTTTGGTCAAGGGTGGGAAAGAGACTTCCCCTTGCCACTCCCCAGAGAAACTTAAATGATACTTGTATACCTGTGTAGATAGCAGCATTAAATGTTTAACACCCAAAAGGTGGAAACAACCAAGGCATTCATCGAGGGATGAATGGAGAGACAAAAATGTGGCTTATGCATACAATGGAATATTATTTAGCTTTAAAAGGGAAGGAAATTGACACATGCTACAACATGGATGAACTTTGAGGACACTATGCTAACTTCAGTAAGTCAGTCACACAATGACAAATACTGTATGACTACATTCATATAATGTATTTAGAGTAGTCAAATCTAGAGACAGTAAGTAGAGTGGTAGTTACTAGGAGCTGGAGAGAAGTGAAAATGGATAGAGTTCATATTTAATAGGAAAGTTTCAGTTTTACAAGAAGAAAAGATTTATGTATATGGACAGTGGCAATAGTGCCTTTATGATGTGAAAGCACTTAACACCACTGAACTACATCATTAGAAATAGTTAAGATGAGCCAGGTGTAGTGGTGCATGCCTGCAATCCCAGCAACCTGGGGAATTTCAAATTTGAGGCCAGCCTTAGCAAATTAGAAAAACTCTCAGCGATATAGCAAAACCCTATCTCAAAATCTAAAATTAAAAAAAAAAAAAAGGACTGGGGATTTAGCTCAGGAGTACAGTGCCCCTAGGTTCAATACCCAGTAAATAAAAAAAGTACAAAAACGGTTTAAGTGGCAAATTTTATGTTTATGTACGTATTTTGCCACAATTTTAAATATATATTAAAATGTTTATAGTTCAGTAAAAAAGATTAATGTAAGGATGTGTTAATAATAACTGTCTGCTATTATGAAAAAACATTCTAATGTTAGATCACAAAAGATAGAGATTATATGTGGTAGATTTCAAGCTATGTAAAGATGAAATGTCTGTATCTGTGCATATGCAGGTAGGCAGGAAAAGAAGTGTAAGGAAACACAAATGTCAACAACAGTAGCCATATTCTGAAGGAGTGGTCTTTTTTCCATCTTTGCTATTTTTCACAGTTTTCAAGTTTCACACAATGAGCATACATTACTCTTATAATGGAGTGAAGAAACAGGGTTAAGTACAAAACCAAACCACAAAAAAATCAAGGAAAAATGACTATTTATTCACTCCAGATTGGGAAGGGGTCTCCGTATTCAATAGGAAAAATATCACACAGGAAAATATTGATTTATTCACTTACTTTAAAAAGTAAAATTGATAAATAAAATTGAAAGGAAAATTCATATAGCAGCAAATGCCAAGTGTCGAACAATCATACAGAGTGAACAATGATAAAGGTGTCACCAATAAAGAATTAAAAAACAGGATATCACTTTCACTTTCACCTATTATTGTAATAGTGCTTTTTTGCTGTATGTTTTTTATTTGCATGCTTGCTGACTCTATTTTTAACTTTAGTACCCTAAGGTAGCAAAAGAGTTAGGAAAGGAGAACATGGGTTTGTTTTTTGACAATTTGGCACTGAGAGACTCTCCTAAGGGAATAATTTGAAATACATAGAAATTCTTTATTCACTAAGTTGATCATCACAGCATTATTTATAATACTGAAAATCTGTATATAACCTAGGTTTCCAACAATTGAAAGAAGATTAAATTACAATAAAACTACACAATAAAATATATTACCAGCAATACAAAGTATCTTTCAAAAATCTGTAATAACCACACATACTAGTTAGTGGAAAAGTAAGAACATAAATTTCATGATTAAGAACATAGTGTACTCACAGCAATGTGAAAAATTCACACCCCAAAAAGACAAGATATTAAGTGATTATTTAAGATAAAACATACTTTTTTTCACCTTTTACTACATTTCTGTTTTCTGATTTTTTTTTATAATTAACACATCAATTTGTAATTAGAAAAAAACACACTTTTTAAAGTAAGGTGAACAGAAGACCTTTCAGGGGTGTTCATTTCATCCCAAAACACACTAGAGATCCACAAAAGCTTCAGCCTCTTGGTAGGGGCACAGGAGCCAGGCTGTGAAAAATGGCTATGAGTGGGTAGGTGAAGAGAGGACGGGCCACAGCTAGGAGGGGGAGGCAGGGACTGGCAAGGGAAAGTCAGCCAAGGGCAGGGGCATCGTGGAGCCAGGGAAGACTCTGACTGCTCAGCGGAGGTCTGTCTAGACCCATAGTAGGCACTGACGGTGTTCTCAAAGGGCAGGGGCAAGAGGGATTTTAGGAAGACACATGGATTCCTTTAGGAAAAGGGGAGGAAAGAGGAGGGGAGGTAAACTACTTGGGAAAGAGGGGAGAAGGACTGAGGCAATGGTGATGGAAGTGGAGAGGAAGAGACCACTGTGAACTCACTACTTACTCTACGCCTAAACCAAACATACTTTGCTCACCTCCTGACAAGTTTTTGTGGGAAAGTTTAGGATAAAGAAATTTCTCGCAGGAGTAACTCACCAACAGCCAGCAATCCAGCTCAAATCTAGAGATAATCCAGGACAGCTCTGTTCAACTGAACCTTCAGCCATGATGGAAATGCTCTAGATCTGTGTTTAGCAAGCACTTGAAATATGGTATGGCTGGGAATCTTCTTTTTAACTTTTTTTTTCATTTAAATTAAATTATATTTAAATAGCCACATATGCCTAGTGGCTACCAAGTGGACAGCACAGTTCAGCTTAGGACTCATCAAGAGGAGAATTTGGAGATTTTTTATACTAAAACTGTGCTTCAGGAAAATCAGTAAGAAAAAATGAAGCATACATATTGTAGCCAACCAGGAGCTACAGATGGATATGAAATGAGAACCTAAATTAAAACTTATCATGATAACTGTAAAGTAGGAGATAGAGCTAAATACACTGCAAATATGTCAAGAGGATTTCTAGACTATATCATAAAAGTTAGTACACACGAAGAGAGCAATAAAAAAGACAAATAATGAGAAAGAAAAAGCTGAGGAAAACCATCTACAAAAGCTGAAGCTTCCAAAGGAGAGTGAAATTCTGGAATTGGGAGAGATAAATAGGACCCTTTACTCCTTAAATAAAAATTGTTGCCTAAGTCACTCAACTGCGTAGAAGATCACTATGTTATATACATTTCTATCATAAGCTAATTAGTTAAAAATGCCTTTAAAATTTCAATAATTTTAATATAATATCTTGTCATTTTGGTCACAATTCAATGCACCACAGTAACTTAATCTAATTTGCTATATTTTATTTCACATTTACCTTGAAACACTGAGTGAGCCATTTGTAAAGAGAAAATTACTAAAATTACTCATTTTGATACAAGACAGACTATTTTAGATATTTACTGAGAAAGATGTTGTTTTGATGACTTCTGATATTTGAACAGCCTCATAATGTTATAAGTACAACTTGTAAATATTCTATTCAAGATAATATGGACTAAGCTTAACTATTACTTGCCTTTCTGGTTATTTTCTTATTTAGGAAATATGGAACTATATTCTGGGGGGAGTTGAAAATTACTTACTATATACTAATGAAAAGTTTTTATAATCCTCAAAATAACTCAGAATTTAACAAAATTTAACAAATTTAAGAAAACTGCTGTTTCCTTTAATAAGTTATTAAATATAGAATGTTTCCTGCCACCTACATAAATGGACATCTGTAATCAATTATACCTAAATAAGAACATTTAAATGAGTCCGAGTCAAACCATGGATGTAGTTATAACTTTAAATATTTTCACTGTAAATAACAGACTTCTAATAGATGGTCACTAAGTTTAAAGGTCATCTTATTTGCTAACAAATTATTATTGGATCGAGAAAACATCTCAAAAGTTTTAACTTAATTTCCCATGAATTTCACATCTCTAATCTACTAAGCATTGTTTTTTATTTGATTTAAAAATAACACATTAATAACTTGATGCATATTTTATCTTTGGAATTTGAAACCTTGTGGTCTTAGAAAATTGAAAATAGACTTTAAGGTACTGGCTTCTAGAATTAGTATTTAACTTTATAATTGAGAAAGAAATGTGAATTGTATATTAAAATAAATATATTTTTAATATACTGGTAAACCTAAGATATGTTATTAAAGTATAAAAATCAAGAATTTAGAGTAGAACTTAATTTGATATATGGTTGCTTTTTGAAATGTACTAAATTCCACAAATAATTATTTCTTGATTATATATATGTTACTATTTGGTTAGTATGGCCTTGGTATAAAAAAGTATGACATAATTTTGGTTTGTTCATTTTGTACTTATTAAATGACTACACTATGGACTTTTTAAACAAGAGAAAAAGGCTCAGCCCAGCCCCAACCTAATTAACAATTACAAATTAATAAAGACTAAATGAAAAGGACTGGCTGTCACATCCTCTTGGGCCAAATGGTTGATGCATGTTTTGATTACCTCATACTCTGGTTCCTTCCAATATTATGGGTAATGACAAAATAACAACCTCTAATGCCTCCTCTCACCAGCTCAAGAGGAGCATGTCACATTTGCCCTCCATTGTGGCAAAACTCAAGGCATCAATGATTGAGCAAATTCTCCATGTTGGGAGTCATTATATATATTGTGATCCTCTAATGGATCAGAATCCACAAAATACAGTTCCCCTGCATGGATATCAGAAAAATTAGCCATAAATTCATCAGGATTGAAGCCAACCCATATAGTATACCTATAGTCTATGGTACGTATGGAGTAGCCCATGATCTTTATATCTTTTAAACTTGGCTTGTCAGAATTCCACTGAGGGGAATCTGCAGGCCGGGGGTACTGACTATAAGCAATCAACTCACGGGGGTTACTGCGGAGATATGGATCATTTTCTACATCATGGAATCGAAAATGCTTCAGAAGGTTCTGGCCTTCTCTACATAGCTCAACATGAAATGAAGGAACAGGGCAATGAGGCGGAACCTGTAGTCCTGCAAGTGCAGCCAGCGTGGGGAAGAGAGACACAAGTTCCACAAGGTCCATGGTTTGCCTGCCTGAAACAGAAAATGACACAGTTGAGTTTGTTACATTATAGAAGCCTGCCACACCAGACTGGATGAGTTAAGGAACCTGTCTAGACTCCACATGTTTTCTATTTGCTTGTATGTTTGTTTTCAACATTTTATTTTTAGCAAAAGAAGTGTAGAAACACCACCAACTCAGCACCTCACCCTCCACTACATACTCATCCAATAAAACATCAAGATGCAAAATTGGTCCTCAGCCTATTGGCACTTTAGAAAACTATCTGACTTTGAAACCACTAGTGTAATAACTGGATTCTGGCCAGCTTCATCAATTTAAGCTCTAACTATTGGGTAAAAGTTTATGATGGAATAGAATATTTCAAGTTTCACAATGGCACCCCACAGATCGCCCTTTTCTGGATGACTTTTTGATCCATCTTTCCTTTTTTCCCCATCTTTTCTTTTAGTATGGTAAAGTACACAAAACATGAAGTTTATTATCATATCTACTTTTTAGTGGACAGTTCAGTGACAATAAGTATATTCATATTGATGCATCATGATCACCACCATCATCTCCAAAATTTCTTTCATTTTACACATCAGAAACTCGTCTCCACTGAACAGCAGCTCCCCATTTCTCCACCCCCAGAAACTTGCGACCCTCATTCTACTTTCTATCTCTGTGAATTTCTCTACTCGAAATATTGCATATTAGTGGGATCATATAGTATTTGCTCCCTTGTGTCTGGATTATTTCACTTTAAGAATAATGTCCTCAAGGTTCATCCATGCTCTAGCATATGTTGGAATTTCCTTCATTCTCAAAGCTAAATAATATTTCACTGAAGGTATAATACCACATTGTGTATGTCCACCCATTTGTCAATGGACACAGGTTTCTCCCACTTTGGGGCTATTTTGAATAGTGCTGCTATGAATACTATTGTCCAAATTTTTATTTGAATACCTGTGTTCAATTGTGCAGTATATATATTTAGGTGTGGAACTGCTCAGTCATATGGTAATTCTGTTTAACTTTTTGAGGACTTTCCAGTCTGTTATCCACAGCAGCTATACCATTTTACATTCCTGTTGCTAATACGCAAGTGTTCCAATTTCTCAACATCCTCACCAATGCCTGGTGTTTTGTATTTTTTATTATTATTCTCAATGGCAATCCAAAAACATGAGAAGGTATTACATCCACCTTTAAAATTTAAATCCTACACTTATCTTTATATCTTACATTGATTCCTGTTAAAACTGATCTTGGTTTGTACTATCATTCTGGCATTTTGGACAGTTAAGAGATTGTTTAATAATACCTAATTTCATTTTCTAGATACTTGATTTGTATGTAAAATAAAAAGAAAAAAGAAGTTTTTTAAAAAGATACTTTACAATGGCAAAATTTGGCTGCTGCTACCATCACCTTAAGCAAGTGACCAAAGTGAGCATCACTAACAATGGCACAAGTTGCCATAAGATTCCCCTCACTGTGATAACAGAATTCAACATCACATGTATATAGTACTCTGATAAAAAAATATTCACTATGAGAAAACAAAGAGACAAATCTAGTGTGTGGGACACTGTACAGGACAAACTGCCCTGGATGCTTGTCAAAAAGGGGAATCAGATCACTAAAGTCCTTGTCAGCCATTGTGAGGACATGTACTTGTGAGATGAGAGCACAGGAGGCTCCTGAGTAGGTCTGTAGCAAGACTTGCCGTGGAATTTTTTTGGTGGTAGGAATGGAATCCAGGATCCAGGGCCTCACTGCATGCAAGGCAAGAGTCCTACCACTGAGCTACAGCCCTATCCCCTGTCTTGAGTTTGAAAGAGATCACTTAGGGTGTTCTGAGAAGGAAACACTCTAGAGGATCAATAGCACAAGGAAGAAGACCCTTCAGCAAGCAGCTGCTGGTGGCAGAGGAGATGATGAGAAGCAGAAAGGAACAGATTCTGAATGAAGAGTGGTGGGCTTGCTGATGGACTGCAGATCACATATGGAATATGAGAGAAAGAAAGATTAAGAAGATTCTGTAATTTTTGTGGTCATTTCCTGAAAAGAGTGTCAAAGGCAAGGCTTAAGGTGAAAGAGCTAGATGTTCAACTCCAGGGATGAAAGACTAGCCAAGTAGAACAGGCTATTGGACATGAAATGTACAGTTCAGAGAAAACATACAGGTTAGCGATAAAATCTGGAGATAAGATGGATGATGGCACATTTGTACATGAAATTACAACTTGGTGATTATCTCCCAACAAAGGTTTCAAGAAAGAGTCTTACCTGTAAGAATATTTCTCCCAGCAAACAAAGGGCTAAAGTCGTAACTGGAAATTGTTTAACCTTTCAGTGAAGGGAAAAAAGAGTATGCATTGCCCAAAAATTAAGTGTGCAGGAAATAAAATCAGGCAGTATAATTAGCAAACTCTACAGTCCAGAAAGGCCAGAATAATGAATCCCAAGATAAATTGAAATAGGAATCAATATAAAGTACAAGGCTTAGATGCTAAAGATGGATTAAATATGTAAGTCCCAAAATGGGGAGCCTGGCTTAGCACAGTTTATGGAAAAAAAAAAAAAACACTCCAAAAAGAGCATATAAGACTAGCATGGCATCTGAAGTGCATGATTTACCTCTGAAATGCACCAGGTAGATTAAGTCATGATAAAACGCACAGGAACCCACACAAATCACCCCATATGGGCAGAAAGGATATCTGGATTCAAAGCTTTGAAGAACTGGCACTTAAAAGCCCAAGTCAGCTTGCCCTTCACTATTGCGTGACACAAAGCAGAATCACCCAGTAAATTTTACAGATCCAATGGTTAACTAGGTCAATGAGCTGCCAAAAGGGAAAATACTCCCCTTAAAAAGGGCTGAGTCTATGACAAAAGTATACAGGTTAAGGATACCACTGATCTGTTTGGGGGACAGCCCCTTCTATGCTCTGTATCATGCTGTTGCCACCTTACAACAGCCCTCCCTACCTTGGGAGGGCTACTGCTCCTTTGCCCTACCTCCTTCCAAGGCCCCTCATGGACAGAAGCCATATTTTTCAGTTCTGGCTCTACCAATCCTCCCTTACCCACAGCATGAGAGATGTTCAGGAACCACATGCAGACTAAACAATATTGAGAAGGAATTCTAACATACACCAGAAGTGGGGACTATGTGAGCCTGCAGCCTATAATTCAATGAGGTGGTTTACATGTAAACTAAAGGCACTCTTAGCTAGGCAATATCACTCCTGTATATACTATACCTGGCTCCATCAGTTCTGTGGTGGAATCAAAAGGATCAAGGTAAGGGAAAAACTTCTCTCCTGCCTTTGGTAGCAAAGCTGTCCTTCCAGGAACGTAGAACATCAGGGGCACACGAGTAGTGACGTCAAAATTGCTGTATTTGGCCCATTCTCCATGTTCACCAAGGGCCCACCCTGGATCATAAAAAGCACAGAATGACAGGAAATTAATAATCAGATCAAAACTTATATACTTTAGCCACCATTTCAATTCCTGTTGTAAAGGCCAAAAGAACTAAAACCTCATCACCTCAAGGAAATTCCTCTAGAATTACCACAAAAAAAGATGATTTCACCTGATGCCGCTTTATTCAAAGTCAAACATACATCCTCAATGATGAAACATTTAAAAAGGAAAAATATATATTAAATTCCCAAGGTAAAATATCTTCTTTTAATTAGGAATTAACAAATACACCCATATTGGGCTTTGCAGACAAGTCCAAACTGCCAAGACAGGCTTTTTTTTTTTTTTTAATGCTGAGGATGGAACACAGGGCCTCATGTGCTCTATTGATCAGCTACATCACTAGCAGTTCATTCTTCACTATATGGAGACCCTGAAAGACAGAGTGTCACCATTTCCCTGTCCTATGTTCATCTATCTCTTGACTCATAACCCCAGAAACTCAGGTTTACACATCTGGGAAGTGTAAAATGTGAGGCTATGGTACTGTGGCATAAGACAAGGATACCTTGCACATTTCTTAAGACATACCATATGTGAAGAAAAGCAAACCTTTAGTTTTGAATCCTTAACCCCGATTAAAAACCATCCTTAAAACTTATTTAAAATACCCTTGTAGAAAATAGTTTACATATTCCAAGTTGGAAATTCCCTATCTTTTTAGTACAAAACTTTTTTGTACTATCTTTTTTGATACAAAAACTGTTCATGATATAGACTGTTAATGAAATATTTACAAAACAACCAAAGACACTGAAAGTGGCTATGAATGGATTCAATAAAGCATTGGAATGATTCTGTATTTTATCCATCATAGCTATATCTGCTAAACTTTCCCAGAGGATGGTACAGAGTCCAGCACAAAAACTCACTGACTCAATCTACAGATGATATTGGGGCTACAAATTACAGAATAGGGCTGGAACATGTTCTGAGTCAACAGTGCTCTCCTAGAAAACCCAGAATTGAAAAGAACCTTTCATGTATCAGTAATCAAAGCAGACTTCATGTCTGTTATAAATGCTCAAGGTTTCTAAGCATGTAAGATAGTTGGAGGATTGGCCTGCTCTCTCTCCTTCTCTCTGGCCAACAGTGCTGAGGTTAGGTAGGGATTTTCAAGTACTCTAAAGGAGGTCAATGAGAATCAGTTTCCATGGTCCATGTGTTCAATTAGCTGGGTGAGGGCCAGCGCTATACCTCCACATGTCCACTTTCTCTAAGAAGACAAGGTAGCCTTGACCCATGAGGCCTGGTGACTTGGTCAGTTATCATCAGGCTCCCAAGACACCAACTTGCAGGTTATATTGGCAGAAACTTAAGAATATGAGGTCCAAGAAGCCTTTGGGACAGGAAAGTGAGGGTCCCAGCAATGGGACCTCAGGAGTTACCTCCTTGAAGTCTAACTGGGGTACACACAGCAGTCCTAAAGGTACACCAGCCAAGTTCTCTGTGGCATCCCCAAATATGGGCACTCAGAGCCCACAGGCCTATTGGCCATGATAGGCTGTCTAGCACCATGCATGGACAGCCCCCTAGCCCACCAAGCACAGGGTCTGGTACTTGACAAATACTCAATGGATAGCTATGGACTGCCTAACTGCAAGAACACATTGCTCAGTCTTGTGCTGGGTTTCCTTCTGGTCTGCTATAGCCAGGAGGAAATATTTGAGAAAGGAGAACACAAGCCTGTGAGAGTCCCAAGGGTTCATCTCGACACCAAGAAGAAGAAACTAAGGACCTTGAAAAGCAACTGAGAAGGCTTCTAGCTCTTTTCCCAGAAGCCTTGCATGAGGGCAAGGCAGTAAAAGCCAGCCCAAAAATTATGAGCTAGATGGGAGCTGGTTCATTCTCATGCTCAAACCTGCCAGTTCCTAATTAGATGTGCAGAAACCATCATGTTTTACCAGTTCTCTGGTGGTTCTGATGCAGTATATCCCAGGAAAGCACACTGAGGTGGGTTACTATAATCAACTGCAACTGCCTCTGAGCAAAGAGTATCTCTGAGTAAGCTAGGCACTGAGAAGTGGGGTAAGAAGTGGATGACAGAGCATTAGGAATATGTGAACAATTATGGCATTTCTGTATATAATACAACACTAGAGACCTTTACAAAGGAAAAGTCAGGCCTGAGAGATGACAGGGAGAATTTTCTGTGACAAAGTTAAGTAGGAAAAATGTTTTAAAAAGTTCATATAACAGTAAACATAGTATAATCAACTATGTCTTATGATATGTTACATGTTACATACATACATATATCCCCATATATGTATGTGTACAAGGTACACATCAGAACTCCTGTTTAGTCCTGGGAAGGTAGCATAACAGGATAGGGCATTCTGGCCCCGTATTATATTCTTCGTATCCTTTTTTCTTTATGAGAACATACTATGATTTACTACTGTATCATTGCATATTTGATGATATGGAAGAACCATCTTTCTTTTTCTACGTATGATAATGGTTACACTTAAACAGGCAATGCTTTTTTTTTTTTTTTTTAGAAATAGTGATTAGAAAACAGAACCATCTAGGATTTGTTTCAAAAAATTCAGTGTTAGAAGGAGTGGGTAAGGAGGAGATGAACAAGACTGTCACTAGTAGAAAATGTGGAAGCTGTTGTTTTATTTTCCACTCTTGGGCATGCTGAAAAATTTTCATATTAAAGAGCACATTTTTCAAATTAAAGAGCATTTCTATATTTGGAAAAAGTAGGAAACAACCTTAGGAGATATAAACAGTTGAGAAGCCTGGTCTCTTGACAGAAAGGATAGTAGGGATGGGGTAAGACATATCAAAACCAGCCATATCTGAGGGCTTTGTTGGGTTCTGCCAAGACTGTTCTGGATTCTCTTCCACCCCCACCCCCCAACAAAAACCCTAAAAGTCCTCCAACCCTCAAGGTTAGCAATGGTGATTAGAAGAGCTTTCCCACAAATGGAAGGTTCTTGCTGAGTGCATAAAGCAAAAGTTACTACAGGCCCCCCCACACCTGCCTCCACCTCCAAGTATCAAAGATGGAGGTCCCAGGACTAATAATCTGATCATAAAGCACCCAAGAACCTGGACTCAGGGTACTGCAGATCCACACACACACACACAAAAAAGAACATGACCATGTATATGGAATTTTAAAAAGCATGTTTCACAGGAAAGCTGAGATGCTTTGAGTGACTCATCAGGGCATTTCAAAATGCTTACCATGATCAGAGGTAAACACAATGATCGTATTGTTGGCCAGCTGAAGATCATCCAAAGTACTCAAAAGGTGGCCAACCTGTGTATCCAAATAGGAAACAGAGGCAAAATAGCTCTGGCGAATTTTCCGCTGCAAATAAAATAAACAAAAATAAATCAATAATGAAAGTGAGTGTAATTTTAATTGCTGTGGCATACACAGAGATAATATCCACCTTAGCATCTCTCTCAATCCCAATTCCTCTGTTGATGCTCTCATTTTAAAAAATAGCACTCCCTTTCCTACTTTCTGCATCCCCTCACCCACTGAGTCAACATGATCTGCAGGTCCAAAGATTCATTTCTAAGTGAACTAGCTTTCATTTTAGCACACAGATCATGGAAGATGGATGCCATTTACTACTCCTTTCTGTGTCTCTCACATATTCTGGTGGGTCCCAGGAGATCTATAAACTGGATGGCTTAAGAAAGCATAAATGGATTGGCTCCAAGCTCTGGAGGCTAGAAAGCTGATATCAAGGGGTAGAGAGGGCCATGTCTGCCTGAAAGTTCTAGAGGAGGATTAGGCCTCTTTCTAGTTCTGGTTCTAATTTCAGTGTATCTGCTAGGAGTCATAATTTAACCCACAACAACAGTCCTGAGTCAGTGTTCTGACCACTTTCACACCCAGCAAGAGATGGCAATTGCTTATCTCTATGCCATGACTTTCATGTGTTGCTCATTTCTCCAAAATTCTCATCAGGCAAGAGAAGAGCAACTGAAGAACAAGAAAGGAGCAGCCACAGTCCCTGAACCCAGGAGAAACTTTAGGGACAGCTATGTCATACCCTGAAGTAAAGGAGCCATCAGCCCCTCCTAGGCCAGCTCGCCTTCAGCTTTGTTAATAAGTGTTAATGAAAAAGATGAATCCCCCTTTGCCCCTCACCAAGGGGTAAGAAGCATGGGAGCTGCTGACTTATCAGATCAGCCACAGCCTCTTTTGCACATATGGTCCCTATCTTATCATCTGGACCTATCAGCTTCTTGTCATTGCTAAGTTAGAACAGTCATGAGCCTTTCCCTAATCTCTACTTGTGATGAAGAGAACAGATACACATCTAGCCTTCTAGAAGAATTAATCTGAATCCTGGCCTATTTATACATTCTAGTAGACAGTCTTCAGTCTGTAACTTGGAGAACTATAGTCCTCCTGGAGACCAGAGACACCAGTCAGGATGTCTCTGCCCTATATAAGGGTACTCCCTCCTTCCTCTCCTGGTCCCTTGAGATTAGGCAATAAATAAACCGGCATGGTTCTCAACTCTACTGAGCCATGTGACCAGTGAAAAATAATTACACATACATTATTGGTGGGGCCCAGGGCTGACCAAGGACAATGAGTGTTCAAGTGTGCTTGGAAAATTAGGGAAGGCTTCAGAGAGGATTTCACATTGCAGAAGAGTAGCTGCTATCAGACAAATGGGGGTAGGATGTTCTAAGCAGGGGCTGCAGGATGTGGAATCATGACAAAGCAGAGAATCCTAAGGGCTGAAGAATAATCTGGGAGGGCAGAGGGAGGCAAGTTACACTGAAAAAGTAGGCCAGGACCAGATGAAATGGACCTAGCAGGTCCCTCCAAGTAGCGAAGTCCCAGGCTGCAGGCCAAGGGAAGGAATCACTGGGGTCTTTCAAGGTGAGGAGATGACACAATTTGAGCTGCAGGTTAATAAGAGTACAAATAAAACTACTGTCCGAAGTACAAATTCCACTGGCTTTAGACAAACATCACTAGATAACTGCTGGACACCTAAGAAGTACTCAACAATTTGATGAGTGAACAAAACATTGCAAGACCCAGACCAGAAAGATGTACCGAAAGATCCAGAGAACCAGTAGATTTGAGAGGAAATTGGGGAGATCAAGCAGATGTGGAGGAGGGGAAGAAGCAGGGAAGAGGAAGGAGATGAGAAATCCAAGGGTGACTCTAGAGTTCATATTCAGCTAGTGGCATGATTCACAGGCATGTGATGAGCAGGGAGATATAAGAGGAAGAAGAGACAGACCACGGTGGTGGCCTGACCACATGGAAATCTATGCAGCTGAGGTCTCCACAGTAACCTGCCTGAGAATGGCTCTCAAAGATGGGTGGACATGCAAGTCTGAAAATCAGAAGCAAGACCTGGGCTGGAGGGGTATTTCTGGGAGTCATCTGTCAGCAGGTCTGAGATGAGCTAGGCAGATAAGAAGGGGAAGAACAGAGGGGAACTTAGACAGACCCTGGATGACAGCATGTAAGTGGGGGGAAACAGAAACAGGGGCCTGCCATGGAGACTGGAGCAGAGGGGGTCCAGGAGGGCTGGCAAGGATGCCCCGGAGATGAAAACTTCCAGAAGACATGAGGCTGGTCAACGATGAGAAAATAGCACGGAGCTCAAGTAAGGTCAAGAACAACAAGGATGGATCTTATTTACTAACAAGGTCAGCGACCACTCAGGTGAGAGAACTTAGTATGTTGGGAAGGCAGAAGCCCAAGCAGATAAAAAGAACAAATGCACAGGAAGCCATGGACACAGGTAGAATAGACCACTCCTTACTCTTGCTCTAAGAGCAGGTGAGTGAGGGAAGGGGGCAAAAAGGGAGAGAGAAAGCAGGAAAAGAGGAGAAACAGGCAGATGCAAAGGAGAAGGTACTTTTTTTTTTTTTTTTTTTTTTTTAGTTCTCGGCGGACACAACATCTTTTGTTGGTATGTGGGTATGTGGTGCTGAGGATCGAACCTGGGCTGCACGCATACCAGGCGAGCGCATTACCACTTGAACCATATCCCCAGCCCAGGAGAAGGTACTTTTTAAAGATGTGAGTGACATGAGCAGACATAGAGGCTGCAGGGAAAGATAATGGGAAGGGAAAACTCACTGAACACGGGAAAGAAGCCAAGTAGAGAGCTCACATGGGCAGCTGAGTGCGTTGCTGCCTCATGGCTTCATGGATTCTCTCCAGCAGCCCTCATTATGGACTGTCTCATGATCAGAATACTACATGTGAGACAAGGATGAATGGAAAAGAGTGCTAAGGGGCTGGCAAGAACAGTAAGTGGCGAGCTACTGGGCCTTAGGAATTCAGGGAAGAAAAAAAGCCAAGAGGCCACCTAGACAGAGTGGACAAGGAAGAGTCCACACTCCGGCAATCCTTGGAGGTGTGCAGGGAACTACAGGTTGAAGGGGTCGTGGTATGGTGACCAAGAAGGAGCAGGCCTGGGAGATGGCAAACACCTGAGGACACTGGCTCACACAGGGCTGAGTAAGAGGGCTGGAGCTGACGAGAGCATAGAATTGAGAGGCTCAAGAGAGAAGTGAGACAGGGCTTAGACATGAACATCCAAAGCTTCAGGTCCTGAGAATATCAGGGTTCACTCTGGGTCACGCTCTCTGCTACCTGTCCAACAGACACAGGTATAAAGAAGGGAGTTGAAAAACTTCAAAGAGAACTCATCATGTAATTGGTACTGTCCTAGATGCTTCAACATGTACCCTTTAGTTCTCTCTGAAAACCTCCTTAGTTGGCATTATTGCAGAAAACCTTCACCCATCATGTTTCCATTTTACAGATAAAGAAACTGAGGCTCAGAGAAATAAAGTAACTCTGCAGAGTTCATGCAACTGGTGTGAGGTAGAAAGGGAATTTGAACTCACACTGTTTGGAACTAACAAAACCAACCATGTGGTTTTAGTTACACTTCTCTGGGGTGACCTAGTTCCACGTGATGCTAACGATGCAGTGAGGCCACTGTCATTTCTCTGCCTTTAGTCTCCTCACCTGACAACAGAAGGGACAGACACCACTGGATTCCCAAATGGGCCAAGGCAGATGGCCAAAACAAATGTCAATACCCATCCAGCACCAAGTATTTATCCCGACACCCAGTCCATTGCAAAGTCCATTTTAAGTGACTGTCACTAGTAAGGCTTCCAGACATAGACTCAGAGCTGCAATTTAAGCCACCTCATTATCAGAACCCAGAATGCAAAATTAGAAAATAAACAAACTGTCAAATTTGTTGCTTTACAAACTTTCACCACTTGCTAATAAGGAAACTCAGGAATCAAACAGATTTGAGGAGCATATACCCCTCACCCCTCAAACTCTGGCTGTGCAAACTCAGGAGTCACATGGATGACTCTGAGTGCATCAGAATCACTGATGTGCCTTTTGAGGAAATGTATATTTTGGGGCTCCATCTCCAGCTTCCAATTCTGGCCCAAAAATCTTATATCCAACAAGCCTATAGGAAATTCTGATGCAGGTGTTTCAGGAAACACACTTTGAAAACATTGCTATGTTCCTTCCATTCACTATAGCCTACCCATCTCAGCATTCATGTAATAAAGGAAGGGCTCTACATGGAAGATTCTGGAAAGATTTGTTGGTCAGCATGTCTTTTGCACTCACATGGGAGAGATGGTGGATAATCAGTCAGCATGATAATTCTAATTTTGTGGCTGCTCTTCCCCCAATCATGGCAAAGGGATACCAGACATCATAGCTGGACAGCACTGGCCATGATGGCACCCAGTCACCTCTGTGCCAAGACCTAGTTAACACAGTCAAATTGAGAGTGACAGGTGCCAATACAGGCTTTCCCACAGAGGGAACCTCCAGTACCAGCAAAGTGAGCATTCTGAGCTGCTCAAGAGTTGCCCATATCCTACAATTGAAGAATCGTAACTCACATTAAACAGCATCTTCCATGAGTTAGGGACATTGAACCAGACTCCTTCCTCTCCCCCATCCCTCCTGTAGCAAGTCACCAAATCTCTGGATTCTCCCTTCTCTGAAAGTTTAAACACTGGCCAAGAGACTCTTGATTCACCCAGTACTGTCCATGTCCTACAGAACACACCCCACCCAGCACTTGGCACAACACCATGCATAAAAGTTCTTAATAAAACATTATAAATGGAGTAGTGGATGTTGTACTGAAGAAATTGCATTGACCAATGACATAAGTGCCTGATACATTCTGGAAATATGTCTTTGGTACCTGAAAGTCCACAGGAATTGGGCCATAGGGTATACTGATGTTTAAGGCTTGGACGTCTTCCCGCTGCCTGATGTCCATCCATGGGTTGTAGGCTACAGGAGGTAGGCCATCGGGGACCTGGGGATCAGGAGCCAGGGTGATGTTCTCCAAGGGGTACAATTTCTGAAATTCCTTTGGGAAAAACAAACACAGAGCCACAAGGTTGTCACTCTGTTGGCAATGGCACAAGGCTGTGGCTCTTCAGGTGTTTATGTGGCCTTTTCTCTAAGCCTGAGATGTATTTACATCATTGCTTACTAATGACCCCCAGGTACTCATTCCCCTCCTGAAGTCAGGCCTTAGATCACTCTCATGAGATGCAAAAAGCAATGAAATCATGCAACTTTTATTTCCTAGGGAACAAGCAGTGGTATATCTCTTCCCTCATGTGGGCAGATGCCCTTCTGTTTCGGTCCTATCTCACTTCCAACCCATGAAAGTGTGCTGAGGTGTTCTGGGTTCTCCAAACCACTCTCAGGCCCAATAATTCATTACAACTCACAGGACTCAACATATAGTCACACCCACCACTATGGTGTATTACCATATACAATCAGCAAAGGGAAAAAGCTCATGAGGCAAAATCTGGAGGAAAACAGTAACAAGTTTCTAGAGTCCTCTCCCCCAAAAGTCACACAGAATGCACCTTCTTGTCCCAATAATGAGGTGTGTGACAACATGTATAAAATGCTACCAGAAAGGGAAGTCTATTAAAGCCTCAGCACCCAGTGTGGTTTGGGCCTGATCACATAGGCACTCTCAACCTGGAACACACCAAAAGTCTGGGCTCCCAAAAGGAAACCAGGGGTTCAGCATATACCTTAATGTTTGCCTAAACAGTTTAGGCATAGTAAGCCACACTTATGAGTTCTGGGAATGGTGGCAACACTCCCAAAATCAAAGTTCCTAAATGCCTACCAAGGGCCAGCCTTATAAGCAGGTCTTTCAAAGGCTCATGGCTAGGATAGCTTTGAGAACTCCTTTCTGCAAAGTAGCAGAAGAGGCAAGTCTCTTAATTCTATCAAGAGGGTTGGTAGTTCCTGACAGGAAGGCATGATACCCTAGGCCAGTCAAAACAAGATACCTGCAACATCAAAGAATATACCTTCTGGTCTCTACTCTCATTACAAGTGAGGGGCCGTCTTTGTGAAGTCAAAAAAGCTGAGCTGCTCAGGCCCAAGGAAAACACAATAAATAAAACTGAAAAAAGATTATTAAAAGGAAATTACTACATGCTCTAAGTGATTGGATTTGAGGCAACAGGATTTGAGGTTCCAACAAGCAATGCAGTGGTTATAGGATCTAATCTGACAGGCTCAAGGGGGTAGAAGAAAAGGGAGTTGGTGAAGAGAGCTTCAAATTCCCTGGAACTGTGTCCTGAGGACTATCCCTTATTATAGGTTTTTAGTGGCTTTGGCTCAGTTATCTATGATCATAATCCCACCCAACATTTGAACATTGAGTTCAATGAAAGGAAATAAAATCCTCCAGTGGAGAGAAGTAGAAAGCCAAATATTTCTTGTAAGATCCTTACATGTTCTAAGACTACTTGTCCTTGAGATCTGACTCCTGTCTTCACTCCACTATGCATACTATGTAGCTCCTATCAGGCATCCCTGGTAACTGGGGATGGCAGGATATAGCCAGCTTCACTACACAAATCCCATCCTCAACAAATAACAAAGTTATAGTAGCTGCTAGATCAGCCCTCAGCCAGCTCTTCACCTTGGGGTATCTGAAGGGGATGTGTGGCTTATGGTACCCAACAGCCAGGAAGAAAGGACTGCCAGTTGTTTTCATCTTTTCCAACAATCGTATGGCTTGCTCAGTGCTCTGTTTGTCAGGCAAGGTGCCCTCAGGCACATCCACTATATCCACAGGACAAAGCAGGTTGGCATGAAGTTCTCCGTCTTGTCCCCTACATGTCTTTCAAAACAAAATTATGTAACATCAGATTTTTAAATACAAGAAACAGAAATCATGAAGGTTACATACAGAGATTTAATGTCCATATCACCAGTCCCTTAGCTGTTAGTCAAACAGAGTGAAGAGGCATATCAGAAGTAGAACTAAACCAGAGAGGTAACTCTTTTCTGGGCAGGAGCCAGAAATCCACAGCACTTAAGCTTCTTACTGCTATTTCTCTGTCTCCAAGCCATAACTCATTATAAAAAAAAAAAAAACAAGTAAACTAATTATAGGAAAAATTCTATATCCAACTCAACAATGAAAAGTAAATAAGCCAATTAAAAACGGGCAAAGGACTCTAATAGACATATTTCCAAAACAATATACAAATGGCTAACAGCACATGGAAATATGATTAACATAATTAGTCATTAGGGTAATGCAAATGAAAACCACAATGAGATACCACTTTACCCACAAGGATGGCAATAAGTTTTAAAAACAGAAAATAGCAAGTTTTGGCAAAGATTTAGAGAAACTGAAACCCTCATACATTGCTGACAGAAGTATACAATGGTACAGCCACTTTGAAAGATAGTTTGTCAATAATTCCTCAAACAGTTAAACATATTTGTTATATAATCTAGCAATTCTATCCCTAAGTATATACCCAGGAAAATGTTTCTAAATGTCTGCAAAAATATGTGAATATTGATAGCAACATTATTCCTAACACCCAAAAAGTGGAAAGAACTCAAATATCCACTAAGTGATAAATGGACAAAAAAATGTAATATTATGGAATGCTATGTACTCATATAAAGAATGGTACATACTACTATATGGCTGAACCTCAAAAACATTATCCTAAAATAAAAGAAGCTAGATATATGTGGTTACATTTTATATGATTCTATTTATATTAAATGTCCAGAATAGGTAAATCTACAGAATAAGAAAGTAAATTAGTTGATGTCACAGGCCAGAGATTGGGATGAAATAGGGAGTATCTGGTAATGGGAACAGAGTTTGTTTCAGGGGTAATGAAAATGATCTAAAATTGATTTGATTAACAACTGCACAACTTTGTAGATACACTAAAAAAAAACAAGAGTTAAAAGAGACAGTTTTTATATCATCTTCTGAGAAGTCTCTGTTCAGGTCCTTGGCCCACTTATTGATTAGGTTTTTTTTTTTTGGTGCTTAGCTTTTTGAGTTCTTTATAGATCCTAGAGATTAGTGCTCTATCTGATGATGTAGGCTCTCTATTCACCTCACAGGTTGTTTCTTTTGCTGAGAAGAAACCTTTTAGTTTGAATCCATCCCATTTACTGATTCTTGCTTTTAATTTTTGTACTATAGGAGTCTTATTAAGGAAGTTGGGGCCTAATACCACATGATGAAGATTAAAGCCTTCTATTAGATGCAGAGTCTCTGGTTTAATTCCTAGGTCCTTGATCCACATTGAGTTGAGTTTTGTGCATGGTAAGAGATAGGGGTTTAATTTCATTTTGTTGCATATGGATTTCCAGTTTTCACAGCACCATTTGTTGAAGAGGCTATTTCTTCTCCAACATATGTTCTTGGTGCCTTTGTC